AAATGAAGCCTAAAATTTCATTTGTATGCATCCATTATACTGTTTTAGAGCGTTTTACAGCAAAAAATTTCAAATTTCAAACTTTTCAAACTTGTTTCAATCCGTTGGCAAGCACTAGCAGCTTAGCTGGGTTGATAATGTATAATAAAAATTTTAATTTATGTTAAAATTTAAGTTTTTATAGAAATAGTTGAAATACTTTTTTTTCTTTTTTTTTACCAAAATTTCCTTGGTTAAAAAAAAAAAATCCACTGGCTAATGTATACATTTTTCCCGTGGGGACCAATAGAAGGTTAATGAAAAAGTTTGACTCTTGATAATTGATATGACACAGAGGCACGCGCTATGATAAATTTGTTGGTATGCTGAAGTAATTTGAATATTTATTAATTAAAATGTAGATGGTTCAAGAGATTATGTATTTTGGTTTAAATGGTAAAAATATATAATTTAATTATAATATATTAAAATAGTTTTTATAAAAAATTATTTAAATATTTAAATAGTGCGTGATCATCTGAAACTAGAAAAAACTTTTTTTGATGGTTCAAACCTATTCTTGGAAATTAATAGAAAATATATAACAAAATAAATCCAACATGATCAATTTATTAACTAGCACTCTATCTAGTACATGATCAATTTCTTATCTAGCACTTTATCTAGTACATGATCAATTTCTTATCTTCTTTGAACCCATCATGAACCCATCATGAAGCTTGATTTCAATAGATACCTTATGGTTATGGGTTATGACCCAAACATGAGCAGTTTACCTTTTTCTTTATTTATCTTTTTGTTCTGTCTACTATTTTTTTTTTTTGTATTAATTTTTCAGTGTCTAATAATCATATTAGATTCTAATTAATTTAGAATTAAATTGCGTTAAACCTCATTAGAGGAAAGCTCTTCCAGCACTTATTTCTCTATTTATAAGACTCGAACTCAATATTTTACTTGGAGAATTGAGCTCCTTTTACTTAAATGTATATTTTAAAAATCTTTTTCCTCTTAAGGCTTAGAACTTTAAAAATAAATAAAATATTAAATAAAATTAATTAAAAATAATAATTTTACATTTTAGAGTAAGATATTATATATAAAAAAATTTGTTCGAAACATTCTTAAATGAAGCCTAAAATTAAAATTTCATAAGTATGCATCCATCATACTGTTCCAGAGCATTTTAGACTAAATAATTCAAATTTCAAACTTTTCAAACTTGTTTCAATCCGCGGGCAAGCACTAACTAGCAGCCTGCGCTGATAATGTATAATAAAAATCTTAATTTATGTTAAGATTTAAATTTTTATAGAAATAATTGTAATATATATATTTTCAAAATTTCCTTGGTTCCAAAAAATATCCACTGCAAAGGTATGCATTTTTCCTGTGGAGACCAACTGAAGGTTAATGAAAAAGTTTGACTCTTGATAATTGATATGACATAAAGGCATGCGCTATGTTAAATTTGTTGGTGTGTTAAAAGTAATTTGGATATTTATTAATTAAAATATAAATGATTCAAGAGATTATGTATTTTAGTTCAAATGGTAAAAAAATATAATTTAATTATAATATATTAAAATAATTATAATAAAAAAGTTATTTAAATATTTATATAGTCCGTCGTCATCTGAAACTAGAAACGACTTTTTTGATGGTTCAAACCTATTCTTGTACTTTTTTTTTTGGAAATTAATAGTAAATAATAGAAAATATATAACAAAATAAATCCAACATAATCAATTTATTAACTAGCACTCTATCTGGTACATGATCAATTTGTTATCTTCTTTGAACCCATCATCAAGCTTGATTTCAATAGATACCTTATGGCCCAAACATTACTTTTTTCTTTGTTTATCTTTTTGTTCTCTCTCTGCTATCTTTCCTCCTTTTTGAAGAGTGTATTTCTTTGTTAAACCTGAGCCGTTTCGCGTAGCGCATACCTACAAAAAGACTCTTTCGTTATTTTTTTTACTCTATTTTATTATTTTATTTTTCACATAATTGTAATAGTTGTATTGTATATAGATTCTTAGTATAAGATTTGATTAATTACTACATTCCCATTGGCGCAAAAAAAAAAAAAAAATCTGACCGGATATCAAGTCCACTTTACTCTTACCATGTAATTAATTTAATCACTTTCTCCTGTCAACAAGTTTATGCTTCATTAAGTAATCACTTTCTCTTATCCACCTTTATCTTTTTCTGGTTCTTTGAGCAAAGCATTACTTTGTTTACAAGTTCATATACAGGGTTTGAAATCCCCCATCCTCTATGTATGTAATTCACTCTTTGTAAAACTGTTCTTTGTAGTTTACAACTTCCTCTGTTATAAATGTTACAACAATTTTTAGCAATCTATTTCAAAATTTTAACAATTATTGTAATATTTAAAATTTTAAATTAATTTCATAAAATTTAAAATATATAATTAAAAATTAGTGTGCGAATTTTTTAAATTTATATAAATAAATTTTTACTATATATTATATTTTTAATAAATAAACTTAAGAAAAAAAAGTAGTAAAAGGGATCCATACCCGGAATCTTAAGGAAAATGATTGTTTGGTTATGAGAGGGGACTGCTAATAATTAACATTCCAAAATCGTTAACGGCATTGCCAACTTCATACGGTACTTTTTTTTTGATACAACTGATAAAGCTAAGTAATTAATGGCGCAAGAATGCTACGCCCAACGTGTCCGCTTCCAGGAAAGTGATGACACCAGGTGGAGGCGAATCAAAAACTGTGGTTCCAGTAGGCAAATTATGCCCAATTTCAGCCATAAAGTCAGTAGCACGATTACCTTCACGTAGGGTGTGCTGTATGCTAAAGGCAATAAATCCTCCTCTCAAACGACGGATATCTTCCACCAGCACTGCCGCTAGGCTATCCTGTTCCTTGGATCCTTCAATAACCTGCACCGCTGACAAGGAATCCATCTCCACAACTAAATGACTAATCCCTTTGTTCCTACACAAAATCAGTCCTTCCCTGCAACCCCATAACTCTGCCAGGAAAACTGAGATTTGACCAATGTTCACTGAGAAACCTTGAATAAAGGTTCCCGAAGAATCCCGCAACAATCCACCTGCACTTGCCAATCCTGTCTCCTGCATTCTAGAGCCATCCGTATTCAACTTGCAAAAAGGTGGATTCGGTGGGTGCCAACTTATCCAAATAGGGACTTTTGTTTGCACAAATATGTTGCTGGCCATTGCCTGATAAGTATCTATAGCATAGCTACTTATAAAATCACAAAGTTTAGGGGCTGGCAAATTAGCAGCTCTAAATATCAGATTATTCCTACACTTCCATAATTGCCATATGGTGGAGAGGAAAAGAATATCAGTGGGCATACCTCCATTTTGCACCAGGGCTAGCTTTCTTGAGTTACTCTCTATCCATTTTGATAAGGGCAATTGGAAAAAATCCTGCCCCCCAAAACCAACTTTATTCCATACCTGAACTGCAAATGGACAATCTCGTAGGAGATGCAATGGAGTTTCAATTACATCATCACATCGAGGACAATAAGGTGATACAGTGATATGTCGCTCATAACGGACAACATTAGTAAGGACTCTGTTACGCAATAGTAGCCAAACAAACATCCTGACCCTCTCAGAGCAACGTAGCCGCCATACCCATTTCCAACGATACTCTTGTAGTGGAATTGGGTCCTTTAGCCAAAGGATATGATTGAATGCAAATTTAACAGAAAAAAAACCCATTATCTGACAAGTTCCACACCATTTTATCCCCTGCGCAGGCTGTTGAAGAAAGTGGGATTGAAAGGATTTCATTCACTTGAGTTGGTGGCAGCAGCTCATTTAAGAGGTCCGCATTCCACTTCATTGTGTTAGTGATGACACTAGACACAGGCATGTTTAAAGATTCATGAAAGACAGAACCTGTGATGAATTTATATAGAGGTGAGCTTATGGTCCAATTATCTTTCCAAAAATTGATGTTCTCCCCCGTGCCTACTCTCCATCGCATACCCTCTTTGATAACATCCCTGCATTGAAGAATGCTCCGCCAGGTTGCCGATGACCCTGGTCCTGCTTTGACGTTAAAAAAGGAGGAAGAGCACAAGTATTTATGTCTCATTGCCTTGCACCAGGGCGCCTCATCCCCTGTTAACACCCTCCATCCCAACTTAGATATCAATGCTCTGTTATTTTCCCTTGCTGCTCTTAGCCCAAGTCCTCCCTGTTCTCGACTTCTGCAAACAGCTTCCCAGCTAACAAGATGAGGTTTCAGAATCCTTGTATCTGAACCCCAGAGAAAAGTCCTATTAATTTTGTCAATTGAACTACAAATGCTCTGAGGTAAAATGACCGTCTGCATCGTATATGCTGGAATTGAAGAAGTCACCGACTGAATTAGTGTCCTCCTACCTGCCAAACTTAGCGAACTTCTCTTCCAATTAGCAAGTTTCAACTGCATTCTTTCAAGTATATACTTGTATGTAGTTGCCGAGTTCCTTCCATGGATAATTGGCACCCCCAAGTATGTGCCTAAGTTAGACGTGAGTGGGATACCACAAGCACTACTTAAGGAATTGGCTACTGCAGCTTGGATGTTAGGTGATATATAGAGTTTTGACTTTGCTAAGTTAATCTCCAGTCCCGAGTATCCAGCAAACTCCTTTAAACAATTCATAACCATTGAGAGTTGAGAATGAGAAGCTTCGCAAAAAAGCATCAAGTCATCTGCAAAAAATAAATGTGACAAAGCAAGACCCCTTTTTGCAATTTTAATAGGCTTCCAAGATCGAGACTGCAGGCGGCTAAGAATCATGTGTGACAGCTTTTCCATGACCATAATGAAAAGGTAAGGCGACAATGGATCTCCCTGCCTTAAGCCTCTTTGTGGATCAAAAAAAGGTAAAGGCTCCCCATTCCAAAGCACAGAGAGTTTAATCGTTGAAACACAGAACATGACGAGTTTAACTAATGCCTCTGGAATGTTGAAGTCCCTCAAGACTTTCTCGAGAAAGCTCCAGTTGACACTATCAAAGGCTTTATGTAAATCCATTTTTAGTGCAATAGCCCCTTTCTTGCCTTTCATATTTCGCATGCTGTGCACTGCCTCTTGTGTGAGAACAATATTATCTATAGTACTTCGCCCTGCTAGAAAACTGCTTTGGAAAGGTCCTACAAGCTTCTGCAAGTAGGGTCGCAACCTGTTCACAAGTACTTTTGATAATACTTTATAAGCAGTATTAAGAAGGGTAATTGGCCTAAATTTATTAATAATATCAGGAGCATCTCCTTTGGGTATTAAAGTAATATGTGCCTGCAGAAGTGAAGACTCAAAGGAGCCATTTGCCAAAGCTGAATTCACAAAATGAATGAAGGTACCTGATACCACATCCCAATTTTTCTGAAGAAAAATAGCTTGCAACCCATCCGGTCCAGGACTTTTCAAACCTTTCATCGAAAAGAGGGCATGTTTTACTTCATCTATATTAGCTGGTTGCAGGATCAACTCATGGGCAGAGCTTTCCAGTTGAGGTTGAAAATCTATGTAAGATTCTGGCAATTCTGATACTGGTCTTGCCGCAAACAATTCTTGAAAAAAACTTCTGACATGGTTTCGTAGCTGCATATCATCCTCCACCCAATTGTCTCCTATTTTCAAGGCTGTAATATGGTTTCTACTTCTTCGGACAATTGTAAAAGCATGATAGAAAGATGTATTCCTGTCACCCGATTGAATCCATTCCACACGAGATTTTTGGCACCAAAATATTTCTTCAGCATGCAAGATTCTATGATATTCCTCCAAGAGTTCACCCTCCAGTTTCTGTAAAAAAGGGGAAAAATGATAACTACTGGAATTCTGTATACCTGTTAGACGAGCTTTCAACAGTCTCTTTTGCTTGAATATATCCCCAAAACTCTCTTTACCCCATGCAAAACAAGCTTTACCTGTTTCTTCAATCGCTCGCTCTAAGGAATGATTCTGTGCCTTCCAAGCATTAGCAAATACTGGTTTAAAATCCTCCCTTGTAAGCCATGTTGCCTCAAACCTTTGTGGACCCCTGGAGCGTGTTAATGATGCTGCCAGTTTTACATTCAACAATATTGGGTGGTGATCACTACAAAGTCTAGGGAGATTTATAAGCTTAGCTGCTGGGAATGCCTCCAAGGCACAAAGATTCATCACTGCTCTGTCCAATCTTTCTCGCAAAATTGTTCGACCGTTACTCCTTCGGGCCCATGTAAAACGACATCCTAAAGCCTCCTTTGTCAATAGTCCGCAAGCTTCTAATCTGGTCCGAAAAGTTTGAGATCTGTTGAACACATTCGTAGACCTTGGGGAGACTTCCTCGGTTGAGATGACATCATTTAAATCACCCATTACCACCCAACTACCTGAAATGGATGTAGCTTTAACCCTCATGAGTTCCCAAAAAGTATCTTTTCTTGAACAGTGAGGTTGAATGTAAGCTAATGTAAGCAGCCACTGGTTTAAACCATTACCAACAACACAGTGTATGTCCTGAGGTGAAGAAGATAAGACTTCAAGAGCCACAGCTCTCGATTTCCAAAACAACCATAATCCACCCGCCCTTCCTTGCGAAAGAACCTGATATTGTTTGTCATAACCAAAACGGTTCATAAAAGCCATAGAATCATCATGAGACTCTGCCTTCGTTTCTAGAAAGCAAATGATGTCTGGTCTATTCATTTTAATAAGTTCTTTGCATTCCCTTCTGAAAGGGCCATATTTCACGCCCCTACTGTTCCAAGTTATCACTTTCATCTAGATATAATCGATGAAGGGGTAGCTGCAACATTATGTGCAGGTGGTAAGATGACATTTTCTAATACTACCTTTCGACTGTCAGGAGGTTCAGTAGGTTGGTTGGAGGCTAACTGCTGTACCTCTGGACAATTAAGCGTACCCATCCTATGGGATTGTTGAGGGTTCTTGCAATGTGCTTGAGGCAATAGATTGATAGGTGTTTGGACTGGCACTTGTGGGACAGCGAGTGAGGGCTGTTTCTCTAGTGTAACACTTGATTGCTTCTTCGTTATAGGAGTTACTTCTGCTAGTTTGGAAGATGGGGTTTTGGAGATTTTTGACATTGGTTTTAAGGTCTTGAGCCTATTCTTTTTGGGCGAAACTTTGGTTTGTTGAGAAGACAATCCACCCACCATTTCAGGCTTTGCAGTGACAGGCACACTTGGGCCTAAATCAATTTGTTGTGATTGTGACTCGTGACTCTCTGTTGAAAGGTCAAGAGTAGCATGCGTGGGTGTATTTTGTTCTTGTGTCTCAACCGGATTATTCGGCGAAACAGTTTGCACTATTCCAGCATGATCTCCTTGGCCCCATAGCTCTCTATCTTCCTCCATCACATCTGATATAACTGCAAATCTATTTGTATTCATATCCCGGTGCCCTTGATTCCTGCCGCGTATTTCCTATCGTTTCTTGTTCGTGTCAACTTGAACTCGTGGTTCATTCGCTTCTAATCTTTCCATATGTTCATCAGATTCCTGATTCGACGAGCCCATCATGGATCGTGGTTGGTTAACTTTCCTTGGTTTCCGCTTGGCAATCATCCATGGCCCGTAAATCATGTCATTTTCTGAAGTTTCTGATTTGAGGGTTTGACTGAGTGCCACAATTGCTCTAGCACAATCACCATTGACTCCGGTGAACTTTGGGACCCCACCACCATCTTCTTTCACCAGAGTCGGGTTTTTGAAACGACAAGCCTCTTCCTTATGACCATATTCACCGCAATGAAAACATATTCTGTGTAGCCCTTCGTATTCAACTAAAATGAGCGATTGTGGCAACTCCTCGAGATCAAGATCGACCGTTGATGGCAGTCTCTGGCTCAGATCCACCTCTACGCACACCCTAGCAAACTTTCCTCTGGTGGCCAACAGCGTCCCCCTATCCACCTTAATGGGATTTCCCAACTTTCTGGCCAAATAGAGAACCACTGATTCATGATAACACATTGCTGGAACACCGTGCAGTTTAATCCAAACTGCAGTCTTTGGGGCTTTTGCTCTAGCAGGTTGAAAACTTGGTTCCCAGGGTTGAACAGTTAGATAATGATCAAAAATCTTATACGGACCTCTTGTAAGCACAGCCATACGATCCTCTGGAGAAGCAAACTTGACAATGTAGTAACCAAGTCCAATATCAATGAAATCATATTCATATTCGGTACGCCACTCCTTCATCAAGCGTGCTTGGAGGACGTGAAAGTGCACAGATTTCCCAAGTAACTTAACTATGATTGCGTTGTTGAACGGGGCACATAGCCGCTGCCATATTTCTTTGGGAATTCTGACCTTAGGAATCTTTGGCGCACCCATTCTATCTGTATCTTCTACCATTGGAGTGACTGTCTCCATCTTTTCCCCTGCTGCAATAAGTTCTTCTAGGGTCACCAGGGGTGGAGTTGAGGAAGCATTCCCATCGATTAGTGTGTCCCGGAAGGATTTTTGCTTTGGCTCAACCAAATCGGCTTGGGCTTCATCAATTGAAGGGGATGATGGTTTTGGTATAGGGTGGGAGTTTCCAGGCGGTGGTGGGGGCTGGGGAGGCGGTGACTCATCCGCTTTGGGTGGGGGCTCAGAGTTTGGTGAGGTTGATAAGGGTTCCATTTTCGGCTTTCCTGGACCAGGCTTGTAGTGTTTTACAGTAAGTGTGGTTGTTTGGGAGATGCACGGCGTGTGCTCGATGAAATGCCTGAGAGGAATCCTAGACTTCGGCCGCTCTTCTCTCTGTTTCATAGACTCGTATTGACTTCATACGGTACTGCCATACTGGTAAGATAAGATAGGTGTGGTTGCTAGTAGGGTTGGGTCCGATTCGGTTTTAATTTAATTGAAATTAATATTT